GATCCAGTGATCTGGATATATTTCCATAAGAGAGTAAGGATAGCATTTCTTCTTGAAAACTTTGAAGTTTAGAAGTCTGGACTCTCTATTCTTTCTTCATTTATTTTTTTTAACCTCCACCTACATAGAAAGAGTTCATTGGTACTTAGGAGGGCAGGAGATAGTGGAAACAAGAAGAAATTAAGACAGTAGTTTATGATGAGGAACAGTTTCAAAGAGATCCCTTGTTCAGGGAATTAGTTGCTTTAGATACACAGAAAATTTTCACAACACAACTGTAGGATTTGTTGTCAGTAAAAGAAAAAGAGGAAGACTATTCATCAGCTGATTAAAAAACAGCTGCACCTTGTGTCAAGTGTTCAGAAGGTGCCAGCATCTGTCTCGATTGTTCTCAATATTTTTTGCACTCAAGGTAGAAACCCATTTGTAAGTAAGGGCCATTCATCAGATGTAACAACTCACATAGCAGAGTTTTCCATAATGTGAGAAGAAAAGGGTACAGAGGGAATTACTGACACTTTCAGAAGCTTTTCACTGATGTAGTGTGTGATATGAAATGGCAGAAATGTGTACTACGTAACCAAGCATAAACATTTTGCTTACAGAGTCAGTCATTAATAAACAGGTCTTGGTAAATCCCTGAAGGACACTTTCTTTCTTTTTATCATATCATCTTTATCTTCGAATTTCATGTTGAAGTACCATTGAATGGAATTCTCCAGTGCTAACTGTATTATCTCAGAGGAAGGAATTCAGCCTGTGCTTTAGGGTTTTTTTGTTGTTTTTTTTTATTATTCTGTAGGATTCATTGTTCATTGGTGTTCAGATGTGAAGGTTACTGGTCCCTCTGACTAGAATTGGTTTAAAATACAGTAAAATAAAATGCCTGTACGTAATCAGTGTTGATGATTATTTTACAGAGTGCTGTAGTCCAGGAGTAAAGATTGGAAGCAAAAGAAAATGTTTGAACTGTCTATGAGTAGGCTGTCTGCCTAAGATCATGTAGCTTATGCTGTTTAGAGCCGATAGAAGTGCCATAGCTTGCTTCTGAATTGCATCCTCCTTTTCTTCATGTTTTTTTTTGTAGCCTTCACTGATACTACTCATGGTTTCACTGTCCATTGGTATCCCTAGAAAAGCACAATTCCCTGTTTTATATCACAGTTTTAAATTTTGCTTTCATCCCATTCTGGAGACTGTTTATTACCAGGTGCCCCTCTGGTTTTAATTCTTTCCTTGGCTGTCGTACTGGCCTTGGTAAATGTAAGAGATGATACATATTTTCTTTTGTCATCTGTGCATTGTGCCCCACTTGATGAATTATTCATTTGTTACATTATACATTGCAGCATGCTGTGTATATTTTGACACATGCAGAACACAAAAGCCATACTTTTGTATATCACTGGGGGAAGGAAATTTTTGTAAACAGACATTTCTTTATGCAGCTTACTGTAACACTGTTAAAATGAGTAATGGTCATGAGTTATACTACATGCTCCGTGGGTTGGTTTTCTTCAGAAGAATATTTCTGTCTCTTGGCATCTACGATGTGCAGAGATGATCGCTTAAATAAAGGAAAATTTGCATACAAAATAAGATGGAGAAGGTATAAATGAGCACTGCTGAAAACAACATCACATGAAGCGGTAAAGCATTAACAACAATGTAAGTATCTTGTGCTCTGAAGAATAGTCCCAGTTATCTGTGTTCCTATTCCGATACTAAGCAGCAATCAACTGATAGACAAATACCTTTATAAACCTGGAAAATTATCCACTGGAAGACATTGTCCAAGTTTGGATCTAGGCTCAGAACGTACTGAATTCAGAATGCTTGGTTCAAACAAATCATGTCATGGTAATGATGATGCTCTGGTCAGTTTTCTGCTGCTCTTGTTTAGTGCAGTACCTCTTCAAAATGATCTGGTAGGTTTTGTAATCACAGCCACTCACTTCTCAACTGCTTGTTTTCATATTTGCTTAGGTCATGCTTTTTCAAACTCTGTAAGAAATGACAGCATCTTTCTTAATGACTTGGACTAAGGGAGTTAAAGAAATCTGAATATGATTGAATCATGATGCCTAAAGATTCAGCAGAGGGAGGTCTGTGAATAACCTAATGTCTGGAAGATACTTTTAAAATGTATTTGTAGAAATTTTAATGGAAAAATTTTTATTTCAGATTTGATTTCCATTAGTTTGGTATACAGAGAAAGAATTGCGATTTGCGTTAATTCTGAAACCTAGTCGGACTTTTGAGGACAGAAATAAAATTATAATGGCATACTAGGAATGATTCTGAAGTGATTTATGGATGAGGAAAGGATGGTCATAGATCACAGATTTGCTTGGTGTTGATACCTAACCTATTGCTTTTCTGCTTTTTGTATTCCTGGCAAAGTGTTTTTGCAATATGGTACTAATTAGTGTGTAATCTGCATGGAGGTGCTGTAAAGAGAATTGTTGGTACTATTCTGACTATTCTGTTGATGATTTAGAGTGGATTCCTTATCAGCTGCTGGACTCCTGAATATTTCCATGAGTTTTGTTTACTTAAAAAACAAGTGGGATCTGTGGGAGAGGACTACCACACTGAGTTTAGATTTAATTCTCAGGGACCGTATATATGTCTGATGACATATATAAAGGTGTAGGTAGCCTAAGATTTCCAACAAGACAGTGAAGGCCAGTTCCTGGTCGGTGTGTTACTTTTGTTGCAGTAGAAGCTGAGAAAAGCTACTCAGTTGCTACTGAAGTACAGGCTTCCAGAGTGGAATGAGTTGGAGCTGACCCTGAAAATTTTGTTACTCTTCCTCAGCTGGTGCCCATGTTGTTTAAAATCAAATATGCAATATTAGGCATCCAGTAAGTTGAAATATAATTCTGCTTGTGGGCAGTTGTTTATGCTTACCCATGTTGCTTGTTAGAGTAACGATTTACAGTGAAAATGGTAAGTCAAGAATTTGTATATTCATGCACTGCAGCCTTGAAGCAGCTGGAGATGTTAGTGACTAAGTGCAATCTTTACCATTATAAGATACAGTCCTTAAGAAAGTCCCATTGGTTTTCTTTGCTGGTGAAGCATAGGTAATAAGGCTTACCTGCTTTCTCACTAAGCTGCACAAACACTTTGTAATTGTGTGTCTGTTGTAAGCAAGGCTCACTTGGCTGCTGGCAATTCCCAGAACACCTGTCTGAACAATACTAGGATGCTTTTTGAACTCCACACCTCAAACAGAATCAAGTAGGGCTACATGGGGCTTGAAGTCTCATTTTTTTCATTACTGTCCAGATGATTTTATTGTGATTAAGTGGAAGTTAGGCAATTTAAAACTTTGCAAGGAGAGCCATTTGTTTCATGTAAAAGCTGAATGTGAGCCTTCATTATATCTAGTAGATCTTGTATGTATTTGAATCAATTTCATTCTTAGGTGTACCTTTTTTCTGAGGGCAGAGAGACCATTTGAAAACTATTTGAAAACATCTATTTCAAAAGCAGATGAAACTTTGGATAAGTCATTTCTTTTTCTGTTTCATGGTTTAAGATTCTGTCATCTGTGCTTGAACTGCACTGTTTTTGAATGGGAGTAATTTGAAGTCATCAACATAACTAGTAATTAAAGCTGTTCTTTGAGCTATATGTTTGCAGATGCCATGTCAGAGGAAAGGCAATATGCCGTAATCTTCACCAGAGTATGTAACAGAATGTGTAAAAATAGCAGTTGGAATGTGTCAGTAGAGAAACATTGCTGTTTGTGATCTCTCTCCATTGCTGGGTATTGTATCATGGATTGCTGGCAGATCTTGATGCATTGTGAAGACATTATAGGGAAGATGGAGTACAGTACATAGTGTGCATCAGGTACAAAGTGTGGCTACAAAGTCTGTGCTTTGTATTGATGTAATTGCTAGTTTACAGCATATATATGATATAATTGCATTTGAATCTCCAGACACATTCATAGTTTTCTTGAGCTTTCACCAAAAGTGCCCACGGCATCTTGCCCGTAAAAAAAGAGCTCAGTCCAGAACCCTTGTATCTGTAGAGGATACAGCAGTAAATCTAATAGTACTCAGTGGCAAATGCAGCCGTGTAAATCCAGAAGTTAGAATACTTCACATGAAACTCTAACCTGGCCAACCACACTGACTCTTAAGAGCCTTATGCTTACAAAAAAGAAAGGTTGTTTTTTTTTCCCCCTGGCTATATTAACTTTTTATGTTGGATGAAATTTGAGCCTTTCCTTATATTGTGTTGACCTACTCCTTTTAAACCAGTTATTTGTAGTGCATTCTCTCTCCTTAGTTCTGATTTCCAAAATGCTGTATGATATAAGAAAAATTTGACTTAAGAGAACAGTAGAAAATGTTAGCCTTTTAGATGATCCTGGAACTTGGTGGCAAGATAGTCTTGGGAGTTGTCTCGAAGAAGCAACAAGAAGGTGCGTGTAAGAAAAAGGAAGAGAGGGAAGAAGTTTATACAAATAGAAGTATACTCTGCAAGCAATAAGTGCTCTTCTATTCTTTATCTTGATTGCCTCATCAAAAGTGCAGAAGACAAATTTGTTCAGTCTCAAGCTTCCTATTTAAAAGTTGAATAGCTGTAAGAAGTGTATAGCAGTAGGGATCTGCAATATATGGAAAAGTACTAATTTTTGTAACACTTTCAAGTAATACAAGCAAATATTGCTCCTGACCAGCTGATAAATTAGAAGAACTTAGAGGGAAAAACTGGCAAAATGCATTCCAAGTACAGCAACTTCCTCAAAAGTATTAGCTACTCAGGGCACACAAATAAAGCTGTGCTGTCAACAGAGTACGAAGCCTTAGAAAAGTGGGTAGTAACAGGATTCTGAACTTCTATATACAGGCCACGCGTTGGATACAGAGGTAGTCATTTAAGTAACCTCAGCCTGATGTAGGGGCTTAATCACTAAAGTAACCTCACAGTTTCTGTAACCTTTTTTTAATGAATACTCTACATCTTTTGTGTTTCAGAGATCCAGCTTACTTTGATGAAAATTGGCTGAACAGGATCAAAACAGAAGTAGGAGATAATTGGAGGCTAAAGGTATTGGACTTACTTCACTTGTCTGTGAATCTGTATTTCAGTTATTAATACAACATTGTATCTAAATATTAGCATATTTCTAGATTAAGACCTTGCTTTATAGTACAGCATTTGGAATTTTAGACCATTTTAATTAGACTTACTTGGTTTTTATGTTGTTATAGTTCTGCGTGGTTTAGCAAAAAGACATTTTGAGTTTGTAAATAGGTTTCATTAATTTAAAAGGAAAATATTAAAATAAATTTTATGCATCAATTACCTCTTTGTTTTTCAAATGTTGAATGAAAGATTTTTAAAACGCAGTCTGAAAAAAAGCATTTAAAAAGGGGGTCTGAGAAGCAGCTGCATAAACATACCAGAATAGTAAGCAATTTATTTAAATAAAAATGGCAAAGTGTTGTTTCCTTTATCAGCTCTGCACAACTACTGAGCTTTAGGAGAGGAAGTTGTGTTTTTTCTGTGTTGTTTGTATTCAGCGCGTTTTTTAACCATGGTCTATTTGCTGGGTCACTTGTATCACTTGGTGTTCTAGTACTTTTCTCTCAAAACCTTTAGAGCAATAGAATTTGCAGTGCTGCAGCTGAGGAACATTTTGGTTTATATGACCTGAAGAATATGGTTTCATATGCAGATGTTAGTGTATGTTCTGACCAGAAAGTAGTTTCCAGCCTGACTACTTGGAGAAACAAAATAGTGATGGTTTGTCTGTTAGTTCATATTTCCTATAAAACCATTTTTTTCTGGCCACCAAAAACCCTTCTGAGCAGCTGGGGGAGGGATACAACTGTGAAATGCTCTATTACTTACAGGCTCATCGACATCACTGACTTAATAGAAGGGAAGGGACACAGAGAGAAGTGCTGCCTGAGACAATGATGGAGCATACTGCTGCTGTATATCTTTTGACTTGGCTAGCAGACCTGTCAGTGTGGTCTCTGCTGCTTGGCCAGCTCTGTGCAAGTCTGGGCTGCTTTACAAGGTTTGTCTGCCAGGGCTGCCAGCAAAAATGTGGGTAAATTGATGAGGGTATATTGACTGGCTGGTGAATAAAAGACATGATCCCTAAACAGGCTTTGTTAGTTCTGCTGCTTGTAGAGCAGTTACTTTAAAAGAACTTTTCAAAGTATCAGAAGGAATTGCAAGTGAACAGCTGGACGCAAGGTATTACATTTCTCTAAAATATTTATGTGGCTTTTTTCGAAGGAATATTGAAGTCTTGCCTGTTAAATTTGGAGAACAGCAAATTGAGAACTGTTTGTTATAATAGCATTTCAGCTGATTGAAAGCAGAGCAGCAGCTTCTGTAACTCTTATATGGAGCTTGAAGAATACATTTTTATGTTTCCCACCAATTTGGCAGATACTAAGGCTTAGCAGGTGTGAATAAAATAAAAAACAAAGGAGCTGAGCAATCTAGTAACCTCCTTATATGATTGAGGTTGCAAAAATATTAGGTCAAATTTCAGTTTCTTGCTGATGTCATTCCTTCTTGTTTTTCATAGAACCATGTAAATAAGAACTAAAGACTGATTATGGTTTTGTTTAAAAGAGGTGTATACTCCAGCTTTTTGTATACATTTTTTTATATACCACTTCCCTTTTCATGAAGAATACTAAAAGGCACAAATGTGATATTTTAACTCTTATTTTGTAACCAGGAAAGTAATCCTATACTTTGCCAACTGTTCTTCTTTATATGTGGGTAAACACTATTAGTAATCTAGTTATTCAAATGTCTATCAGTCAATCAGTCATTTATAGTCTGGCTTGTATAAACACTTTCGAACTGTGCACTTCTATTTATTTGTCACTAGATTTAAAATGTAGGCAACATACTTCTGCATGACTCGATGATATAGATTTCCCTTCATATTTAAAAAAACAACATAAAAATGATAATTGGGTTATCTCACGACCTCGCAAGTCATGAAAATGAGCTGAATTATATTCTCATTGCTAAACATGGTTGCTCTTTGCCTCCAAATCATATGGTGTAATAGTCACCACTTCTACAAGCTATTGGTATTATGAACTACATAAAAGCACCAGTCTAGTAGGGGAAATGAGTTAAAAAAAAAAAAACAGACCAAAATGTAATGTGCAGGTAGTTCTACTTTGTGGAACAGTGGTTATGGAGGCCCTGGTGGTTAGTGTAGGCCTGATACAGCCCTCCTAACTGCTGTTGAAAGAGATGCTCAATCATGCAATTGTTAACTTTGAATTAGATGCTGTCCTCTGTGGGGAATAAACAAGAATACATGGCTCAGCTTTCATTACTTTTCTTGTTCAGCAGTTCACTTTCCCGGAACTGAAAGAATGCAGTCTTATTAAAAATATTTTTCCTCTTGATGTACCAGTTTAAAACAAATGCATAAATTCAAAGGGATGTTGTTGTATTCTTTGTTTGAGGGCAGGTTGTCTGAATTGAGAGATTGAACAATGCGAGGGGTAAAAAAAGGGAAATGTTAGAATTCAGGGGACTTGCAGAGTAGGAAGCATTCAGCAGGCATTCTGTGTGTTACAGCTGACCAGACCTTTGTCAACTGTGTTTAGTAGAGAAACATGCTGTTAATTCTTGGGGTTAAAATTTCTGGGTCATAGCATACATCAGTGTGCATAGAATTTTATGTTTTACCTTGGGCAACAAAAAACCCTACTTCTCACTGCTGCCATAATTGCAATTTTATGTTGTGGGAAAAAAAAAGGAAAAACAAAGGCATATCTCTTTCCTGATGTACAACTGAACACTTTAATATAGTCAGAGTTTAAACTGTGTACGCACTAGTGAAGATGAAGTCATTTTGAAGATAAAATGCCCTTTATTGAAAATGGGAAACTTCATAGAAAATGGGAAAAGAATTCTGTTGCCAAGATTTTGCAGGAATGAAATTTCCTAATCAAGGAACAAGCATAGTTCAGTGTCAAGTCATACAGGAGTATCAGTAACAGCAGAAATTTCAACAGATAATTATTTGATACTCACATGTCAATTTTGGCCGACTGTCTTAAGGGGTGGGATGGAATAAACCTGACACACAACACCCCCCCACCCCCACATGCACTTGTCCCTTCCATTCATTGTGGTCATACCTAGCTTAGGAAAGGAAGGAAATACATTGTTCAGCTTGATTTCTGACTTTTTCCTCTGAACTTTTCACTTTGGCTTTCAGACTACAGCATAAATTTAAAGTACAATTATATTGATGTTTATAGTAGCAAGCTGCGTTTGTTCCATTACTGAATAACACATTCAAACAATAGGAGCCACGAGACTTTCTGCAGCTAGTACAGTTTGAATGCCTTGTGTTTGATACAATATTGCAAAACAGAATAACCAATGAAATTAGAGCACAGACTACTTAGTGCTGTAATCTAAGTAAACAAACCTGATTTTTAAAAATTACTTTTTACTCCCTGCAGTAGTACAGTTAGGTTTGCTTTGAATTCTTCTACGGTACAAGCTGGGTTGGCTGGTAAAATAATGGAAGCTAGTTTTCACTGTACAGTGTCATCTTTCTGCTACTTTCTTGTTCCTTTGCAAGAGAAGGGAGCACTTATTCATCAGCTTCCTTTTAGAGGTATTTTTCTGATGAGTGGAAGCCTGTCATGTGAATGTTTTTCTGCAAGCAAGAAGCAGAGATTATAGGCACATGGTAAACCAGTGTTCATTTCTGTCAAAAAGATAATTAGCAACTGATATATTTAATTCTGTTTCAATATACCGTTACTTCCTAAGTCAACAATGTCTCCAAATATAAGTTCAATGTGAGAATGCTCACTGTGTTCAGAGCTGCATTTAATTTTTTTTTCTTGTCATTTAACTCAGGGAAGTGTCTGTATCTGTTCTTTTGGGGATTTCTTTTCGGAGAAGACAGGTTGGAGGTGGATAACCCCCAAAGCTAGTGGTATCATCTCTCTCTAGGCTCCACTTATAAACAGTGAAGAGACAGGCTCCCACAGAATGGAATTTTGAGCAGAAACCTAATGTATGTGGTGGGAACAATGCATGCACACTCTTGCTCCCTCTGCCCCGTCCTTTCCTTTTAAGTGCAGCCGGGAAGAATATGTACCTTGATGAGATATCTGAAGCTGATTGATTAAGAATTCCCTCACCAATTTCAAGTGTGCCCTAGGAACACTTCAGAGGTTACAAGGTTCTTAATTATAACCTGTGTGAAGGGAAATAGGTGTGTTAATTACCCGTAATTAGCCAGTGAGGTTTGAGGTAAAATGGGACCAATTTTGTTCAGTAACTTTGGTTCTTAGCTAGGCCTCTTCTAACTGCTGAAATTAGCTGCATGTTTTGCAGACACTGTTCGCTCTCAGAGTGATAAGACCTATGTTTATAGTTGATGCCAAGGAATGGTATGCAGAGAGGCTCTTGCTTATACTTTTGCTGTAACACCCAAGGCCAGATAACTTTGTTATTTGGGCAAAAAACGTTGGAGGATCAGAAGTGGAAAAGTGCAGTGGGGTCCCACCTGCGGGGATGAGCGGACGGGACAGGTGACCCAAAACTGACCAACAGGGTGTTCCATCCCATCTGCCTCATGCTCAGTGTAAAAGCTGAAGGATCAAAGGGTCAGCCCTCTTTCTTCAATGTCTGGCACCCAAGGAGAACTCTTGTCTGTTCATCTGCCTTTGGTCCTGATCCTGAATCCAGATCTGGAATCCAGTTCCCACCACTGAGTCCACGAACTGGGAGCTTAATACAGTTTTGTATATATTTCATTACTTTCTTCTTATTTTGTTATTAGTATTTCATTAAAGTAGTTTAGTTCCTTCTAAACACGTAAGTCTCTCTTTCCTTGCTTTGCCTCTCTCTTTGAAGAGAGTTGGGGGGAGAGCATCTGTTGATCCCATCTAGGGTGCCCCACATTCCCAGTGGCCAATTCAGCCTAAACCACGACAGATTTATTGGCGCCCAACATCGGGCACAAGCAGGGCTCGACCAGGAGCTTTGATAGATTGCCTGAATAGTTTGAATTCCAGCTTGTTCAG